GTGTTATCTGATAGATCTCTGGTCCCCATATCTGTCAGGACTGGCTTTTGCAAACAAAAGACACCAAAAACTTTTGGAAGTTGAGGGGTGGGGAGGAAAGTAACTATGAGGGGGTGCTTGGAAAAGCTGTGGAACAACAGCAACAAAGGAATCCAGTTACTGTTGAGATAATTCTGGCCCCTGGCAACCTCATATGTGTTACAATATAGCTGTGCTCTGCAGCCTTTTCCTGGGCTGACTTTTGGAAGTAGATTGCCAAGTCTTTCTTCTGAGGTGCTTCTGGATGGGCTCTGGTGGACAGCTGAGCATGCTGACCATGTGCACCACCAGGAACTGCTGTGGAGCTCTTTGTAAGGAGAGGATGCCTTTTCATTTCTGAGCTCAGCAATGACAGAAACAGCTCCTCTCCTGCTAGTGTCTGGGAAACATGCTGTGGGCACATGGCTTCTGGAATGAGTTGGACACTTACCTACTGCCAAACTGAGGGATCTAGACTAGGTCTGGCAAACAAATTACCTACTTGCCTCCATTCCCCTTACCTGGCTGGTACACATCACAATGGGGCACTCTGTCCTAGCCTCAGTGGCCTAACATTCCTGGATGCAGACTTTCAGCTGGTCACTGCCAACCCTTGAAGTGACATGGGAACAAAAAGCTCATTGTCATCCTTGATCTCTGCCTCTCCCCTTGGACACCATGATAGGGGCTTTGTCAACAAGTACACCATTATGTGGATGACATTACTTAAACTTACAGATACTTGGATAGGAAAAGGACCCTGGAATCATATTCTCTGTCCTCAGACCCAGGCAGGAATATCCCTTGGAGCATCCCCAACAGGCGATCCTCCAGCTGGAATCAAATTGCTTTGCAAAGCTATGCAGCTGTTTATTAGAAAGTCTTCCTTATGTGGAACTGAGGGCTACTTCCTTATAACTTCACCCTCTGGTCTCACTGCCACCCTCTCCTCTGTCAGCACTTTTGATAATTTTTGCTGTTGGAAGGACATTATCATACTCTGTAAGTCATCTCATCTTTAGCAGAATATGACTGCGTTTCTCAGTTAGTACTCTCCTCTGTATATATGTTGTTACTTTTATTCAGCCAGTGCTTGTTACTCCCCAGTTACATGTCAAGCACTGTTCTAGATGCTTAGGATACAGCAGTGAATACAGTAGACTCCAAAATTTAAAAGGAGTTTCAGAGTCCTCTTGAAACAGTTAAGCAGACACAGATGTGGGTGTGATCAGTGCATAGTATGTGTTAGCTCATTATCTGGAGGCTGTATTGACTCTGTCATGCCTCCAACAGGGTGGCTGTTCCCTGTGTGCTTACTAAATGAAGGAAAGTAGGTAGGAGAGGGGAGAAAGAGCTGTATGCCTGGAGATCTCATTTCCTTTTTAAGCTGCTTTACATACTTTGAGCTAATACTAAGCTCTTAGTTAACTAAAACCTTCTGGTCTTTTTTCATCGGAAATTCTGCTAAACTAGGTTGCTTCCACCTTCTGTATTTTTGTAAACGGAATGTTGGACTCTATATTTATTCATTGTAAATTGAATTTTGTTGCTTGCAGCCCTTCCTTTTGGCCTCTGAATAGGATTTTGAGTCTTGATTCCATTATATAGACTTGTTTTCTGGCCCTCCCACATTTCATATCCTCTACTTTGCCAGTTAGGGAGCTCTGGTAGCTTAATGGTAAAGAGTTATACTGTCAGTGCAAGGGTACATAGTTCAAATCTGCTAGCTGATCCATGGGAAAAGGATGGGCAGTCTCCTCCCAAGTAGTTCACTGCCTCAGAAAACTTGCTGGAGGGTCAGCTAGGAAGAATTCTGGAGGTGTAATCCATAGTGAGTTGCACTGTTAAACCAGGAGCTGTGCATCTCTTGACAATTCAATCCAGCAGGGTCTCCTGAGAAGAAAGATGAGCAGTGCCTCCTGCCCCTTAGTTGCAATTTACAGACTTGGAAGCCCAATGGAGAGTCGCTTGTACTTGGAATTGGCACAGTGGTTAGTGGTTTTGAACCACTAGCTAGCTGTTGTGTTAGAAGGATGTAGCAGTCTGCTTCTGTAAAGATTTACAGCCTTGGAAACCCTGTAGTTCCATGGCGTTACTCTGTCCTACAGGTATGATCAATGAGTCCGAATTGACTCGATGGCACTGGGATGGCTTGGGTTAGTTTACCAAAGTATCAAATGGCCTGGACTAGAGCCCTGCCTGAGGTCCTCCTGCAGCCTAAAATGTGTCCATTCTTTATCACTGTTCATCCAGTGCTGACCTCCATTCCTCCCCCCCCCCCCCCCCCCCCCCCCGCCAAGAAACAAACAGGCTTTATTGTAGGGCCTGAGAGGGACGTGGGAGGCCAAGTGACCACGAACAGAGAAGATAAAAATGGCACAGGTGGTCTAGGGGGTTTCATTTCAGGGGTTTTAGGGAGGACAGATTCTTATCAGGGTCCCTGGCTTCTTTCGATGTTATCAGGTTTCTCAAGGAGTTATTAGGCCTGGGGGCAACTGCCATGTTTTTCCTCCATTCCAGACCCTAAAGGAATATAATGGATAGAGGTGAAGTTATCTCTAGCTATTTCCAGCTGAACTGGGGTGACACTGAGGGGCTGGTCTTGGTTTCCTATAAGGTCTGAAGTGACTTCCATGTTTGTTGTTAGGTGCCATCGAGTCATAGCGACCCTATGAACAGCATATCTGAACCCCATCCTAGCTTATTTTTCCAAAACCTGTATTGATCTAACCCCTCAGACTCCATCTTGTCCATCCTGACTCTAGAAGCCCTGCGTTTATGATTTCCTCTGATACATCAGTCTGATGACGCTGTCAAAAAAGAAAGGGGGTTTCTAACCATGCTGACCCTGAGGACTCACTGCTCACTTTTCTAAATGCTTACAGGCCTTCTCTTCCATAATCCAGAAATGTGCCAGGGATCATTGTTAAGCTTGACATTTGCAACTCTGAGAAATCAGCCCTTTTCTGCTCAGTGTAAGAACACAATAGCCTTTGTCCGTCTCCAATTCTTGTGTCCCTCCCACATGCTTCATCAATGCCGCTGAATGGAGTGCTTATGTAATCACTGAAGATTGCTTCAGCACCGAGGGCCTCCCAGAGGCTGAGTGGGGAACCTGAAGTCAGAATGGCTTGTGCTCTACTATCCCCTCTCCTGGGCATGAAGACCCTTCTCCCTCCCCCAAAAGACAGAACCTGTGTCTAGTGGGCATTTCTGCTGCCTTTGAAAGGACACTGCCTACTTTTTCTCCATTAGTCTTGTTACCACCCTCAGACCAATCTGCCAAGGAAAACTAAGTTGCTTTGGGTGCCTATTTGTATTTACTCTGAGCTCCACCACCCCCCTGAGCCCCTGTCCATGTGGAGCTAAGTAGGGGTCAGGATAAACTTCATTAAGGTTGGAGACCCCAGGACTGTGAAGTTGGCTGATTGGGGGATTCTCTAGAGACCAAATCCTTCTAGGAAGGTAACTTTCTAGGTGAGGGTAGGACAGGGCCAGGTTATTGGATGCTCACTTTCAGTCAGTGAAATCTCAGAATCCACAGACCCCAGAAATGGGTAGCACCCTCTCCCATACCTGGTGAGCCCGTCCCTCCTCATGAACTTGGCCTCTTTGTTTCTGAGATGTGGCTGCTCTGATTGTGGACATGCTGGTCCTGAACAGGGGCTGCTGCTCCAGGACAAGGAGGGAGCTTGAGGACAAATGGGAGGAGGTGGCTGTGGCACATGGGAAATCCAAGCTCACTTTGTAGTGGGGAAAACCTAGCTGTTGCTGAAGGTGGAAACTCATAAATAAGATGCATGCACTTTAAATTCATGCAGCATATTTCATTCAGTAACCACAGCAAGGGCTTGTACCAGGCACTGTCCTAGGTACTGGGAATACAGCATGGAACAAAATAAAGGCTTCTCCTCTTTAGAGTGCTGCGACCTGGGCAGATAGCAAGACCAGCTCCTGCAAGCAGGTAACAGAGCCTTTGCTGATGTAGGCTGTGGGTGCATAACATCAGGTGGTATGTGAAGGAAAAGTCAAGCAGTCAGGTTAAGGGGCTGTCACAGGTGTATTTTTAGAATCTGTGGTTGGAAAGGCTGCATCGAGAAAGTAATCTGGGATATTGGGAAAGGTGTTCCACCTGATGCAAAGGACACAAGACAAGAACGTACTTGGCATGCTCAGGGACTAGCAAGGTGGCTAGTGTCATTGGAGCTCACTGATCCCAGGAGCGCGGAGAGGCTCAGATGAGCTGTTGACAGTGTGTAGGTGCAGCTCCTTGTGATCAGGCCTGTGACTTGCATTCAGCTGGTGGTGTAGTCTCTAGGGAGCTGCACTGCTGACCCAAAGGTGGCACTGCCCTGGTGATTGGAATCCCGCAGCAGCTCCCTAGAAGAAAGACGGACAGTCTCCCCTGGAATTTATAGTCTCTGAAAACCCTCTGGAGGGTCAGCTATGAGTCGATTCTGATTCAACGGCAATGAGTTGAGTGTGTTTAGATTCAGCCTTGCCTCTTATTGGCTGTGTGACTCAGACTAAATGCTCAGCCTGAGTCCTAGTTTCTTTGTTTTCAGAAAGAGGCCAGTTTTACCTATCTCACATGGCAGGTAAAGGAGTGTGTAGAATGCTTTGCAAACTATATACAGCTCAGTATGAATAGTCAGCCTTGTTCCCCAAGCTTGAGAATGTAAACTCCTAGAGAGCAGGAACCACATCCCTCCAGTGGTAGATCCAAGTGACAACTTAGGGACAGGGTGGTGGCCCAGCCCACCAAGATCTCCAAGGAGCTTAACATGCTAGTTCCTGGACCTTTCAGGTTTGATAATCTCTGCTGAGTTCACTTGACTATTGCCAAGATCATCTTCCATAAGCAGGTAGCACTTAAAGGGCCCTTGCCCAGGTCCCAGGCTTCCCACTTGCCTGTAGAAACAGGAGTGTACAGGAGCCCACAAGGGCTTGGGGAGCCCCCAGCCTCTCTTTTTCTGTGGCAGGATCTCCCAGCGAGTCGAGGTGAGCCGAAGCCAACTGCAGGCCATTGGTGAGAGGGTCTCATTGGCCCAGGCCAAGATTGAGAAGATCAAGGGCAGCAAAAAGGCCATCAAGGTAATTGCATGTCTGTTGACCCACGGCTGATGGACTATTTTAAAAATTCTTCTCCTTGCTATCTCAGACCTGCTGTCTAGACCTTCTAGGTCTGTCTGGAGATGTGAATTTTAGAGTCGTCTTCATGCCCACAGGTGTTCTCCAGTGCCAAGTACCCAGCCCCAGAGCACCTGCGGGAGTACGGCTCCATCTTCACTGGGGCCCAGGATCCTGGCCTCCAGAAACGCCCTCGACACCGGATCCAGAGCAAGCACCGGCCGCTGGATGAGCGGGCCCTGCAGGTGTGTTGGGCACACACACTTCACGCACTGCGGGTGGGGATGACCAAGGTGGCCTTGGCTTCTGGGGACCCTGGTTTGTCACGAAGGTCCACCCTTCCTCTGTCATTCTGTCTCTCCCCCCAGGAGAAGCTGAAGTATTTTCCTGTGTGTGTGAATACCAAGGCGGAGCCCGAGGATGAGGCTGAGGAGGGGCTGGGAGGTCTTCCCAGTAACATCAGCTCTGTCAGCTCCTTGTTGCTTTTCAACACCACTGAGAACCTGTAAGGCCGGAAGGCTGGGCACAGGGTGGGCAGGAGGCATGGCTGGCATAGTCAGGGGCTCCAGGGAGGTGTAAGAAGTACAGGAGGAAGCTGGGGAGCCAGGAACTGGTTTGGTTTGACTCGTAAGGCTTTGGGATCCATACTACAAGCTAACTCTGTCCATGAGGAAGCAGAGAGACGGGTCAGGAGCATGGGTCTAAAGCTGGGCCACTTGACCACCACTTCACCCCACAGGTACAAAAAGTATGTCTTCCTGGACCCGCTGGCCGGTGCTGTTACGAAGACTCATGTGATGTTGGGGGAAGAGACAGAGGAGAAGCTGTTTGATGCACCTTTGTCCATCAGTAAGAGAGAGCAGCTGGAGCAGCAGGTAGAGATGGCCGAGGCCTGGGTGGGTAAAGAGGGCTAGGAGGAGGCTAGAGCCCCGCTCGCTTTACCGGGAGCTTCCCCTATGGAGGGGCCCACTGAACCCTGTCCCTCATCCCAGTGGGGTTTTGCATGATCCTCGCCGACTGCCCTGAGAGCACACATACTCCTGTGGCACCCCACTCCATCACCACTCCTGGACCCCTCCTAACCCTACAGGCTCCAGAGAACTATTTCTATGTGCCTGACCTGGGCCAAGTGCCAGAGATAGATGTGCCATCCTACCTGCCTGACCTGCCTGGCATTGCTGATGACCTCATGTATAGTGCAGACCTGGGCCCTGGCATTGCCCCCTCTGCCCCCGGCACCATTCCAGAGCTGCCCACCTTCCACACCGAGGTGGCTGAGCCTTTCAAGCCAGGTGAGTGGACAGAATTGGGGTTGGGCTGGGAGCTCTCCACACTTAACACCTTTTTCTCAAGACACCTCACACTTCCTCGTGCTTCTATTTCAGACCTAGACGATGGGGTGCTAGCAGCACCTCCACCCCCTCCACCTCCACCACCACCACCAGCCCCAGCTCCTGCAGTGCTGGTCAGTGCTCCCCCACCTCCACCCCCACCTCAGACTGTGGCCCCTCCAGGCCAAGGTGCCAGGGATGATGATGGCAGCAGCATGGCTCCTTCAGGTAAGGGCAGGTAAGGACGGGGAGGGGGGAGTGGTTTGGTCTTTGGACTGTACACATCTACTTTCAGGATCCCTGAAGGGTTTTCTTATTATGCTGTTGACTTGGAACCAACCCACAGCTAACCCTCTAGTGGGTTTCCAGAGGCACCTAATTATATGGAAGGAGATTGCCATCTTTCTCCTGTGGAGTGGCTGGTAGATTTGAACTGCCTGCCTCTGGGATTGCAGCACACCTCAAAACCAATACAACCATCAATCCATAGCAACCCTCCAGCGTGTTTCCAAAGCTACAGCTTGTCTCTCTGTGAAACACCTTGACTCGAATGCATGCCCACTTGAGTCACAACTATAGTTACCCTCTGGTGAGTTTTCAGAAGCTGTAAACCACATGGTTGAGACTCATCATCCCCTGAGAAGCTGCTGGTTGATTTGAACCACCTGCCTTTGGGTTGGCAGTACAACACCTTGCCCAAATCACCAACCTTTCTGTTAGCAGCCCATTATAGTTCTAATTTGAAATACCTCAGTCCATTGGACCAGAAAATGATTTTTCACACAGCATCTGTAAAACCCTAGAATTCCAGAATTACTTCCAGGGGATGGAGGGTTCCCTCATTCTCACTTAAACCAGTGGAAACAAGTAGGGGGAGGGGACAGGAAAACTACAAATAACTATAACAAAATACTTTGTTCCTGAAATTGCCACATTTAAATTTTGACACCGACTTGACGGCATTAAACAACAACAACAACAACATCTCCTAGTTTATCTCCAGTAACTATCCGTTGTTGGATTATGCGTCCAAGTACACCAAGAAGTCACAGGGTCCACCTGTGCAGAGCAGAGGGGCTCTTCAACAGGTTGGGGGCTGGAGATGAGGCCCTGGGCCTATGAATATCCTCAACTCGGGTGGAAAAAGGCATCAGAATCTGGTGCCTGTTCAGTCTGAGCTCTGACTTGGGACTTCAGCCAGTCTTCATTAAACAGGATGGAGTTTACTCACAAGTCAGGCCTCTGAACTCACCAAGTTTCACCCTCAGATCCAGGCTGAACAAAGCTGTCCGGCAACTCAGTCCTGCCTGAGCAGACTTTCCCCCTACAGCTCCAGTCCAGGGAGCCCCCAAGGAAGTGGTTGACCCCTCCAGTGACCGAGCCACACTGCTAGAATCCATCCGCCAGGCTGGGGGCATTGGCAAGGCCAAGCTCCGCAGTGTCAAGGAGCGTAAGCGGGAGAAGAAGAAGCAAAAGGAGCAGGAACAAGGTGAGGGAACCCTTGGACCACTCAGGGGAGTAGGGGGGCGGGTACTCTAAACAAAGGAGCTGCCCTCGTCTACCCCGAGAAGTGTCTGAAAGCTAGCTCCCAGGCCCCCAGAGAACTTGCTGGAAATCCCAGGTGGCATCCCCATTCCCAAACGTCATCTTGCCTGCCTAGGCCCTTGGTCCCTTCCTGAGTCTGAAGCCTGCTTAGTAGAGCTTTCCTCACTTAAGCTGGTAGGAGACAGAACCTCACTGACTCAAATTGAGACAAATGACAATTTTTCAAACTCTCACAAGTGGCCGGTCCAAGGACAAGAACCTGAGATATACTCGTGGAGAGACAACCTATAGGGTGGCCCAGTCCTATAAACGTCTTGAGGCTCCATATATCTGCTGTGAATCTCAGATCCCACCATAAGCACACCCAGGCAAAGCAGCCCTGTCCGGGGGGGCATCAGCCTTGAGTCTGTGTGCCAGCTCCTCTGCTGACTGGTCCTGGGCCCTCAGACAGAACCTCTGGGCCAGTTCACTCATCCTCACAGTGGAAATGCTCCTATTTAGTGACTATGAGGATTTATTATTCAAATGATTTAACTTTTTGTGACTCAGTGCTGGAACATGGTGGCTTAAGAGAGGACTAGGGTAAGGGGGTCAGGGCAAGAGATGGCAGATGGGATCGCACTGTGAGAATGCCGCCCTAAGGGGCAGATTCTACACTTGTCCTTGCGCCAGTCTTCCCCACCTGACCCTTGGCTTTCCTGTTGCAGTGAGAGCCACAGGCCAAGGTGGGGACCTGATGTCGGATCTCTTCAACAAACTACTCATGAGGCGCAAAGGTAGGATGAGAGGCTGCCTTCTCAGGCCAGGGGTCTTGGACTACTAGCCATACCTATCACCTTTCAGTTTCACCTCCCAGGGGTGTGGGAACTGGTGACCCAAAGTGGCCTTCCTCACCCAGCCTTCTTCCTCCCAGGTATTTCAGGAAAAGGACCTGGGACAGGGGCCAGTGAGGGGCCAGGAGGAGCCTTTGCCAAGATGTCAGACTCCATCCCTCCTCTGCCACCCCCGCAGCAGCCACCCGGAGAGGAAGACGAGGATGACTGGGAATCCTAGGGGGCTCGGCCACTCTTTCTTCCCCACAAACTCAAATATAAACCATTGTCCTGAGCTGGAACCGGGCAGATATCCCTTAAGCCTGCCTGTTCCCTCAGGACCTGCTGACTGGGAGGGGCAGGAGCACAGCATGGAGGACTACCCTGGGAAGGGAGCACAGGGTGAAGGACTGCCCTAGACCCGCTTGGAGGAGCATGGTCTCCTCAGTCATCTCAGAGCTGAGCTTGGAGTGAGGACAGACAGTATCTGCCTGTGAGCTGCTTGTGTTACTCTACTCGTCTGTCACCAGCATGCCCTCCTCCCAAGAGAGATGGAGAAAAGGCAGTAACATGAATCAATAAAGTATAATGCAAGAAATGAACATAAACCAACAGTGCACTTTTAATTAAGGAACTGTACTGTGCAGAATGCAAATCTGTCCTCAGAGCCAGCAGCTGTCCCCTGCTCCCACTGGACTCTTAAGCTACGGGTAGAACACATAGAGGTAAAGGGTAGAACCCCTCTCACTGGGGCTAGGGCATGAAACAGGGACCAAGTTATTGGGGACGACTGTTGCAAACAAAAGGGCAGGAAATCTTCACACAGAAAAGGTCTGATAGACACAAGGTCTCTAAAAATAGTCCTGCTGAGAGCCCAGTGGCCCTTGGCATAACTGCTGATGTCAGGACAGTAGATTTGCTCAAGTGGTTGTGAGGGAGAGAAGGTGCTACTGACTTGAAGGAACTGAAGCCAAAACAGCAAAACACCAAGGACTGTGGAACAGGTTAGGGGACGGGACTGTTAAAGGAAGGGAGGCCAGCAGTTGGGGGAGCAGGGGTGGAGGGCTTTTTCTCAGCTCTTGATGATTTTATACAAGAACACAGGAAGGTGGTAGCGGTGACAAGTTCCAAGCAGGAAGAGCCCTATGGACACCTGGGAGTTAGGAAATGAAATGCTTTGGCTTCAGTGAGGAGTGCGCGAAAGTTCTACGACAGCTCATTTTGGCAAGAAAGAGGTGGAGGAAGGTGGGTTCTGAGAAGCTGGACAGGACAGATGCTGCAGTGGAAAGCTGTAGTGTCACCGCCTCCTGAAGACTAAGAGCTGGACGTGAGGCTGCGATGAACAGAAAGGAAGAGTTGTTCCAGGGTGGGGAGTGGCCCTGAGGTGGGCCCGCAGATGACCAGCACCATGGATCCTTCAGGATTAGTTACATTTCCACATCCTCTGCCTGGAGCCTAGTCACCCACTGATTCCAGTGGGGGCTGGTCTGATGAGGCCATGGTCCTATCCTGGCCTTCACTTCTGAGGAAGGTCCAGCACGTCATGTCTCTGCAGGACCAGCCCAATGTGACACAGACTGGGTCAAGGGAGAGCCTGGTGACCAGGGGTTGTGCTCTGCCATCTGTCAGGAGGGGCCACTCTTCTCCCGATGGAACTGGGGAAACAGGAGAAAATAGTTAGCAACTAGATCTTAGACAGGAGAAGGCCTTGAGAAGGGAAAGCCCAGAATGACCTTTCGCAAAGCAGCAAAGGCAGAGCCGAAGGCACTTTTGACTTCCACATGATCTCGGATCCAGGCTGGCAGCTTTGCCAGGATGGGTGGGCGGGCATACCGCTGGTCCAGGAGTACAATGCTGGCAAAATCCTTCTGGTGTCTGATGGCCCTGCCTGGGTGGGAGCAAAGATGGCAGCTCGGTATTAAACTTGCCTCCCAGAAGGTTCATTCCCATTGTGTTTCCTTCATCGTCCTCAGCCATTAGCTTGGAGATCAGCCATCCATCCTAGCTCAGTGGCTGGAAGAGTCCCTGGCTTACCTATAGATTGGTTGACAGCCTTCATGCACAGATTCTCCACCAGAGCCTTCCCTGGCGGTGCCTGACCATGGGTTCTGGGCTGGGAAGGGTGAAGGAGACAATCTGTCAGGACTGTTCCCCATCTCCTGCCTATGATCCAGTTCTCCCTGAGAAAATGGCACTGCCAGGCACCTGAGCCCAACACCAGGTTTCAGGGGCCAAATCCCAGCAACTGACAGAATATGTGAGGCTGTGGAGAAGACCATGAGGGTAGGAAGGTGGATCTCCCCAGCTGTAAGACTTCACTATCTCAGCCCCAGAAGTGGCAGGACCCCTCCTCCTGGCCTCTCAGAGCTGCCCTCTGGGTGTTGGTACTCACGAGGGTCTGATCCAGGTAGGCTATTTTCTCTTGCAGCTCTGGAGACTTAATGTTGGGGTAGGGCATACCCACCATGACCACACACCTGGGGTGGAGGCGCACATGAGCAGACAGGTCCTCAAGGGCCTGGTCTTCACCTGGTGGATTCTTCCACCCCTTTCTCTCAGTTCTTATTCTGGGCTCACTAGCTCTACTTCTCTAGCCCCATTCTACCTCCACTTGGGAAGGATTTTTTTAGCCAAAAGATCCACATAGGCCAATTAATTGAGTCCTGATGAAGGTGGGTCCTGTCTAACTTCCCATCTGGACTCAAAGGAGCAAGTGCAGAGTTGCTGAAGCTGTCCCCCCTCAGCTGACTACACATCACAGTCTGCAGGCAAGACACAGGGATGAGAAGACAATCACTTACCTGCCCAGATCATCAGAAAAATTGATCCCTTCACTCATCTTTCCTCCGACCACAGAGAAGAGCAAGGCTCCTGTCATGGTACCTGCCATCCGGCCACAACACTACAGAGATACGCAGTCTCAGAGCTGCCAAGCTAAAGCATGGATGCCACCCAAAGTATTTTTAGCTGCTAACCCTTCATGTTCTCTGGGCCCAAGCCCTCAGCTACAGCTCTCACCTTAATGCACTTGGAATATTCCATCAACACCTGCTCCACCTGGTTTGCTCTTTTGGGTTCCTGAAATATCTGGCGATAGAGAGATAGTACCTTCCAGGAGGGGCTTCAGAACACCTGGGTGCTGGGTCTGCTCTAGATCTTTCTCAGACTGATGATGTGAGAACCTCCCAGGTGGATGGACTTGGAGGGAACCCTCTGGCTCAGTAATCAAGTGGCAGGGAGGTTGGAGTGGTAGAGGGGAGGACCTAGAAGAGGTTCCTGCACAGGAGGCTGAAGACCAGGTGAGACAGATGTGCCCAAGACACCCTAGAGAGGAGCCACTGTCCTCACCCTTGGACGTCAGTCAGCAGGAGAGCTACTCACCTTTTTCTTAACAGCCAGGCGGGCCAGCAGGCCACTCTGTTCCCAGCGGGTGTAGACCTGGCGCAAGTACTCATAGGATGGGAAGAAACAGACCACCCCTCCAGGCACCACGTTGCACAGGTTACAGAGAATGCGACCTGTCTCATCCACCTATGAAAGGAAGGAATGGAATCCCAAAGAGTTACATCAAAGTCTCCCACCAGAAAGGCTTCCTGACCTTGGGCTCAAAGCCAAGCAGACAGACCGGGGGGTACCTAGGACAGCAGGAGAATGGAAAGGTGCTCCCCGGAGTGAGTATCACAAATGCCACCCTTCCACCAAAGCACACACTGATGTCACTCGTGGTGATGGCATTCGTGACAAGTCACCATGCCAGCTCAACAAAAAGAGCCTGCTGCTGGGGTGCCTGAGTGTCCCTTCTCCAATTCCCAGGTCCTGATGGGCAGTGGGGGAATTAAGCCTCAAGAAGACAAGTCAGGCCCTACGGGCCCAACCATACCCCACCGGATCTACATCGCTCTCCCAAGTAGTGACAACAGAGCCAAATGGCGAGAACCAAAGCAGAAGGGAAGTTTCCTCATGTACTGTGGCCTAAAGGGATATTCTGTATTTTATAGAAAACTTAGCATGCAGGGTGAACAGCAGTGATGATCTGCACCCTGTGCTGGCTCTGAGGTGAAGCCCCTAGAACTGACTTGTTTGGCCCCATCGAAGGCCCATCTCCTGCTCAGACACTGGCCTGGAGTGAGGCATGCTACCTGGTACTCACCATCTGAGGCAGCTCCCTTTTCTGGTACGTGAATTCCAGCTGCTGGTTGGAGGGCCCACTGCAAACCACGAGGGGGAGGATATTGTCTGGAGGGATCACGTGACCTGTTGAGACCCAGTGAGGGACTGAGCTCTGGAGGTCCAAAATATTCAGCAAGAGTCCAAAAAGGGCATCTCTCCAACCAGGTTCTAGCTGGGAAGAGCAATTTGGATCACCCATTCATCTTCCCCATTTCCAAAGTAAACCTGGGCAGTGCTCAGACCCCTCCCATGTAGCTGGAGGAAGACAACAGCATGAGAATGAGTTCATGAGAAAGCTAGCCAGGCAGGCCATGTGTGTTTCCTTAGCCCAGCTCACTGGACATGAGAGCAAAGCAGTTACAGTGATGACAAGGAAGGTACAAGGCGTGTCCACAACGTGAATCCCCTGCTCACTGCACGCTGCACAAGGCTACTCACCACAGGAGAACTCCACCACGCGCTCAGCTCCAACCCCAGCGCAGGCCAGCAGCTGCTCCTGGAAGTCAGACACCTGCAGGGCACAATGTTGGGGCTCAGAGCCCTCTGGGGGCCCAAGAGAGGGACCTGAGGGCTGAGCAGATAGGGGGCTCGAAAGGGAAGGAAAGACAAGTCTGGGCTAGGAGGGGACCAATAAAGACAAGAGTCATCAAAGATTTCCATCCTTCAATGTTATTAACAAACAGTGCATAAGACTACAAACAATAGGATAGATAGGGTGGGGGAGAATGGAAAAAATGGATAGATAATGAACAATGAACTGGAAGAGGTGAAGGGATGGACAATCTGAAGGGAACGGACTTTTGATATATGATGATTAACAGTCTGGAACAGGACAAGCATTACAAAGTGAGCTGGGCAAGGATTGGGGATGTGTCTGTATAAATGAATGAAAACCAATCTCTTCGTCAACTTTCATTACATTAGCAATTAAAACAAGGTCATCAAAGAAAACTCAGGATCCAGGGTTGGGAAACAGGAAACAATAAACCCTAAAATTGAAGACCTGCAACAAAAGAACCCACCTATTTCAACTCAACAATAAAAGCACCTAAAAAAGCCCAACTTGCAGTA